TTAGATGTTTGAGTAGTCCACAAGCCCTCCCAGTGAAGCACTGGTACTATACTCTGCTGTCACCTGCTCTACTTCCTCCTTCACAGGCTGGCACTGCCAGTCTCACCACTCTATTACCAATGCCTCCCCCTTTCTTTACTAAAAGGAAAAGCACTTCTGTGCCAGACACTGTTAGGAATGGAGGTATGTGGCCATTCAGGAAATCCCTCTGAGCCCAGAGTTTGGCTGAGCCTCAGCTACTGAGAGGGAAAAGACAGCCTTCCATGGGCATGCTATTCAATACACCACATGTCTACTCTCACAAGGCTATCACTACATTCACTACTTTGTTTCATTATTTTGAGGGAGTATTCAACAAGTTCCTGGAAAATGGATATTATAAAAAAAAACTGTACATGTTTTCAAATTTTTTGCACTGAAATAAATTCATATTTTAATTCCATTTTTGCACATTTTTTAAGTTCCTTCTTCATGCGTTACCTATGACACCTATATTTAATTTCTTGACAAAGCTATTCCAGCCTGAGGTCATCTCAAAAACAAACAAAAATGGCAGCCTCATAACACAGGTAAGCACTTGTGCACAGGGAACCAACCAGATTCTACATGGCCAACCATGAATTCTGGCCCTAGTAGCTTGGATAATGTGTTGGACACATGTGCTTGCATGCCCAGAATCCTGACAGCATGGAGGAAAAGGAATTGCAGCATGACCACACCCTAGTAGGAGTGGACATGCACCCTCTGGCAATAGAAAAATAAACACATGAAGCCACTATATTAAATTGGGGGCTGAGAAAAAAAATACAAAAACAAGCCTTGTTAGTTAGTAAGAATATTCTGGGGTAGGTGGCGTAATGGTTACATCACTGGACTCCCATGTAGCTGACCTCAGTTCGAGTCTCGAACCCGGCAACTTAAAACCCACACTGAGGGGATCAGTAGTGGCTTAATAGCTATGTCACTGGACTCCCATGCAGTCAACCATGGTTTGAGTTCCAGACCCAGTGGCTTAAACTCACGCTGGGTACATGTGCGTGCATGCCCAAGATCCCGAGAGGAGAATGGAGGAGGAGGGATTGCAGTGTTGTCATCCCTCCTGGGGGTGATTCCTCGTTTTCTGTTTCTCTCTGTCTTTCTGGTGAGTACATATACCCTATAGCAAAAACCTCTTAAAAATGAATAAATAAATAAAACCTCACACCAGGTACATGTGCATGTGAGCCCAAGATCCTGAGAGGAGAATGGAGAAGGGACTGTAGCATGGCCATCCACCCTGAGAGGTGATTTTTCATTTTCTGTCTCTCTGTCTCTTCATCTCTCCGAAGAGCGCACGTGCCCTATAGCAAAAATCTGTCTGAAAAAAAAAAAATAGAATCTTCTGAAAATAAACCAAAAAGATTTAAAATGGTGTCTTGGGATGACAGAGTTTCAGGCAGCTTTACTTTTTTCCTTCCTGTTTTCTAATGTGCTTTTCTAATCTTTCTGCAATTATTATA